TAGATATTATCTTGCACAAAGAAGATGTTCAATTAATGTCTATTATAAAATAGACAACCTAATTCTTTCATGTTTGGCCTGTTCTCTTTTGGCTAGAACTGAAAGGTTACGACTTTTCTATCTGTGAAGGTTTAAAGCAGTTTAGAAGAAAGCCTAATAATAAAAGCGTATACCCCTCACCCTTCACCTCTATTTCTACACTAGTTAATCTTCCTTTTTCTCACTTGAGGATATTTTTCCATTGACTTTTAGAGAGAGTGGAAGGGAGGTGGAGACAGAGAGTGGAAGGGCTGAGAATCAAACTTCCAACCAAGGTATGTGCCCTTGACCAAATCGAACCCAAGACCCTTCAGTCCGTAGACCAAGGTTCTATCCACTGAGCCAATACAGCTAGAGCTTTATTTATTTATTTATTTATTTATTTATTTATTTATTTATTTATTTTTATGTCAAAGAGGAGAGAAAGAGAGACAGAAACATCAATGATGAGAGAGAATCATAAATCGGCTGCCTTCTGCACTCTTTTTTTTAAAAAAAAAAATAAATTTTTATTGTTCAGATTATTACAATTGTTCCTGTCCCCCCCTTCCCCCGCCCCCCCCCCCCCCCCACACACACACACACTGCACTCTCCTTTTTGAGGATCAAGCCTGCGATCTGAGTCCTGCATGAGAATTGAACCATGACCTCCTGGTTCATAGGTTGATGCTCAACCACTGAGCCATGCTGGCCAGGAATCTTCCTTAAATGCAAACCAGCAATAACTGCAGAATGCACCATAAATCACGCAGAAAATAAACATTGCATTAGAATGGGGTCTGTTATGTTTAATGGGGGAGGAGGTGCAGAAGTATAAGCCCAGGATTTAAATGAGTCATTTCCTTGAACTGCTTGTTCAGCAAAAATGTTGGGGTTTTCCTGTCTATTTTTGTTTATTTTTTCTTACAAGAATATGTTTCAACCATCAGAACAATCTCAGCACAACCAAAAACTCTTGGCTATCATTCATTTAGTAAAATTTTTCTGGTACTGTGATGTGTGTTTTCTGTCAGCTGAATTTTACAGGAATCGTTAACCACAAGGATTTCCTGAGGAGAAGCTCCATGTGCTGTGTCTGGGGTTTCTCATATTTCTTTTGGCAGCAGTAACATTCTCCAATATACAGAATTATACTTTGAGTTCAGTGCTGATGATTTCTCTTCAAGGAAACAGCTTAACTGAAACATTTGTGGTTCTAATTTGCTTGAACCAAGGGAGAAAAGTTATAAAAGAAAATCACCTATCACCACCTACTCTGCCTTACCCTCTGCACGCACACAAAATCCTTCTAAAGCTGCCATCAACCTATAATAATGCTCACTATGTGATACATAGAAATGTCTGTGTATTAGTCTATAAGCCTAAGAGCCCCAAACCTTCAAATATATGGATGAGGGCTGTTACAATAGGGAGCCTCACCTTGCTGTTGTAAAAGAAAACTAAAAATAAGTTATTTTATACTGGGCAATCAGGTTTTAATACCAAGACATTATCTGTTATCTGCCTTTTTCACTTTTACTCTCTTGTGCATGTACAGAGTGTGAAAAACTCATCAATATGGCTATTCTTTGATAATATGATTATCAGAAAGGACTTAAAACATTATTCCCTTTCCAACTATATATTTTTAAAGTGTGATTTTCTTTATATATTATACTTCATCCAAAACAATAAATTGCAGCAGATTGAATGCAGAAGCAAATATAAGAATCCAGCTATCTCCTATTAAACCAGACAGTTAAGATTTGCAAAAATGTGAAGCAATACACTCTTCTTAATTCCTTCTTTCCCCCCATTTTGGAAAAAAAATTTTTTCATTAAAATTACATTATTTACATTAATACTGTATATTCTGCACATCAGCTCAGCATTCATACTCAGTTTGGATCACCCATAGTAGATCTTCAAGTATTGCCTTGAATTACTCAATCTGTGTTTTCAAACTAAACTGTGAACCATCAGAGTGGCAAAAGAACAAGAATGCTAGTTCATTTGGATGACCTTTTGAAAAGTTTACATACTTTAAAAAAAAAATTGTTTTTAAGGCAGTAGAATCCTTTCTTCAAATGAACTTCCATAGGGAAGAACAATAAATAAGATGGATCAAAGTGGAATTGCACTAATTCAAGTGTCATCAAACTTTTTCTATAACAGGATAGATAGTAAATATTTTAGGCTTTGCAGACCATATGGTCTGTGTCTCAGCTTTGCTGCTATAGTGCGAAAGCAGCCACAGACAATACATAAATCAATAAGTGTGGTTATATTCCAATAAAACTTTTATTTATGAAAAATTTTAACTTTTAAATGTCATGTATCACAAAATTAATATTAGTCTTTTGATATTTTCTCCAACTATTTAAAAATGTAAAAACCATTTCTTGTTCCCAATCATATAAAAATAGTCATAGAAGGGGAGATAAATCTGATACAACAGTTTTAGTTTGCTAACTCCTGTCCTAATTAAAGACTCTCTTGAATTTGAGAGGCACATTCTTGAATGCTAACTGTTTTTTGGAAAGAAGCTTGGAGGTGGGGATGAGTCCAAACTTCTTTTTTTCAAATTATAATGCTGTGTCAGCATTGGCCTCACTGTCCTTTTCTTTTCCAGTTTATGTTACAGCTCACAAAATAGCAAAATAGAATATCTGTATCATAGATTTTATTTTTTAGGTGACTAAGCAAAAGAGAAATAATGAACACTTTGTATTCCAAATACAGGGGTAGACCTGAGTGAATGTTTTTTCAACTATGAAATGGGAATAACAATAGATGATGGTGATGATGATACATCTTATAGAGTTTATTAGAGGTCCCATACACAAAATTCGTGCAAAAGTAGGCCTTCCTCCCCCGAGCTGCCAGCACCGGTTTCCCCCTGGCACCCGGGACCTGTCCTAGCTTCGTCCAGAAGGTCTAGTCCAATTAGCATATTATGCTTTTATTATTACAGAAGATTGTGAGCCTCATCTAAGATGATGCATGTAAAATGCTTAGTAAAGCTTTTGCCACATAGTTTGTGTCAACTGTGTTGCTGTTGTTTTGGTGATAGCTGTTCTTGTATCTCTGACACCTAACATAAGGTCTTTTTAAAATATAAATACTAGAGGCCTGGTGCATGAAATTCATGCACAGGTAGGGTTCCTAGGTCTGACCAGCGACCAGGCTGATCAAGGCTTTCCCACTGCCGGCTGGGGCTTTCTTCCCCAGCTGCCTAGCTGGAGCCTTCCTTCATTCTGCGCCACCCCCTAGTGGTCAGTGTATGTCATAGCAAGCAATCGAACTTCCAGTCGAACTCCCAAGGGGACACTTTGCATATTAGCCTCTTATGTATATAAGGGGATCAAGGTTTATTTTTAAACATATCACTAACTTTGTACTTCAGAGAAAACTAAGTTAAAATTAAAGTTTGCTCTTTCTATCTAGAAAGAGTTGTTTCATAAATTTCATCCAATAGTGATGGTGATCTTTCTGTTTGGTGTGGGGGATGATTTTCTTCCCCATCTGTTCCAAAACCTGTGCTCTTTTCACATAACCTATATAAAGTTAAAGTATAAATTGAGTGCTTATTATGTATCATGTACTGTTCTAAGTGTTTTATATTTATGAACTAGGTAATATTATTCCTCCTATCTTTAGTTGAGACAGCTGGAGCATGAAAAGATTATAAATTACCATAGTTACCCAACTAGTAAGAATTGGAATTTGAACTTATGGTCTAGATCCAGAGTTTCTGTCTTTAACCACTATATTCTAATGCTTTTATGAACTACACTGTCTCTCATTTACCATATGCTTGGACATAACTCATCTTAGTTAACTTTCTTGGAGTTTTAAGGTGTTTTTTTTTTATCATGCTGGGTACTATGTGTGTTATTTATAGTATAATAATACATATTTGTGCTTGACTAGATCAGTGAATATGATGGTATGATACAATTATAATTAATACTGTACTATCATTTCCTAATTCTTATTGTCTTCAATTAATAACTGTTTTTCACTATAAATCTTCTTAGGAACTATCTATAGCCAGGATTGGCTATTTTGAAGCAGTTTACTCTAATATTAAAAAAATTTAGACAAAGAAATTTCTTAACAAATCTATTTATATTCCTAAATTAATTTTTCTTTGTTGATACTCACGCAAAAATATCCATATGTTTTGCTTAGAGTTTTCCCCTTTTTTGGATCCCTCTGTTAAACTGTTTGTTGGTGTGTGTTTTTAATGTTAAACTAGTGGCCCAGTGCACAAAATTTGTGCACATTAAAGGGGAATTAATTAGAAGAAATATTTTATTATTGCTATTTGCCCTTTCTCTATAATAGAAGTGTCAGAGATGAAAGAAAATTAGTAAAATGTATATTAAATCTCCCTCCAGTCAGAGTTTGGGGCATGCCGTGGGACCAAGAGTTAAGTCTCTGTCCACCACTTGCACACACTTCAAAACGCAGAAGATCCAAACGTGGTCAGCTCCACTCCTATTGGGTGAGACCCAGATCCAGCCGGCCCTACCCCTTTCAAGCCCCCCCTGGCGTGGAGCATGGCCTGAGGTCCCCTGTCAAGCCCAGCACCATCTCTTCCCCACCCCCCTGCAGTGTCATGTCAGTGCTGAACTGGGTAGGATGCATGCAGGCAGTGTCACATCCCTAGCCAGGGATGCAATCAGGCAGCTTCACTTCAGCACTGGGCGGGGACGCACACAGCTTAACATTAGTGCTGGGGGTGGAAGACCCTACCCCAGTCCTCAACCTACAGACTGGGACATCATAACAAACAAATTAGCATATTACCTATTTATGTATATAGATAGTATTGTGACATAATTCACTTCTTTATAGATTAAACCTTAAAGAATTTGGGCATACTGGTCATGATAGTGATGTTTGGTATTGAGTTTGGCCCTTAAACTTGAAATAATAATGATCTTGATATATGTTTTATTTGATATCTCTTTCAGAATTCTCCACTTTACCAGTACTTACAGGATCTGGGGCACACAGACTTTGAAACATGTTCTCTGTCACCAAAAGCAGAAAAATGCACAGTGGCAGAGGGACAACAAAGGTCTCCTACAAGAGCCCTGCCAAAAGTAAGGAAGCATGCTCTTTCTCTACGATTTAATCTTTTGTTCTTTGCCTTACAAAAAAACAAAAACAAAAACACCTTGTCCTCCCCCACACTGGTAAGACTTTATTTTTTATTTCATCAGTAGTACAAAACTTCCTGTTTAGATAAACATGAATCCTTGCTGTTTCAGACTATCTCGTGGGAATATAGTAAGTGGAAATGAATATGGTTGAAGATCAAAATATATTATTTATTTAAATAATGAAGTTATCTGGAGAGGACCAGAAAAATACTAAAATATTAATGAGAACCCAACTACTAGGACTGTTATATTAACTGGAATTATTTTTTCTTTAAATGTGTTTTTTAAGAGCACAAATTATAAGAAAACACATTGATAAGGTATTTCATAAACAGTTTCAAGGATATGTGATGGAGTGAGTATTCTTACCTTAATTTCTAATGCTTTTTATGTTTGCAATATTACATATTTTTATATAATATATTAGGGACTAGCTGCACAAAATTCATGCATGGGGGGTGGGTGTCCCTCAGCCCAGCCTGCACCCTTTCCAATATGGAACCCCTCAGACTTAAACTGGCAGTCAGACATCCCTCTCACAATCTGGGGTTGCTGGCTCCTAACCACTCGCCTGCCTGCCTACCTGCCTGCCTGATTGCCCCCTAACCGTTCCCCTGCTGGCCTGATTGATGCCTAACTGCTCCCCTGCCTGCATGATTTTCCCCAGCTGCCCTCCCCTGCGAGGCTGAGGGGACTGGGGGACTCCAGCTGGATGAGGTGGGGCTGATGGGACTGGGACTGAGGCTGGATGAGGCAGAGCTGGGAGGACTGGGCACCGCCATCTTGTGGCTATGAGTGCCACAATCTTGTGAGAGTGTGGCAGTCAATTAGTATATTCCCTCTTTATTGACTTTGGGCATCACCATCTTGTGAAAGCATGATGGTCAATTAGCATATTCCCCCTTTATTAGATAGGAGACCTCATAGTTTCTGTACAACATTATAAGGCTAAGATGCTAGAAGAATCTCCATAAATTATCCTGTATAATAAAAGGATAATATGCACATTGACCAAACAGCAGAACAACTGTTATGATGTACACTGACCACCAGGGGGAATATACTCAATGCAGGAGCTACCCCCTGGTAGTCAGTGGGCTCCCACAGGGGGAATGCCGCTCAGCCAGAAGCCAGGCAAGCACGGCAGTGGTGGCAGTAGCCTCTTTGGCCTCCGAGGCAGCACTAAGGAGCAGTGAGCTGAGCCGTAAGGAGCAGCAAGCAGGAGGGCAGTAAGGAGCGAGGGCTCCTAGACTGCGAGAGGGATGTCTAACTGTTGGCTTAGGCACGGAGAGCAGGCCTAAGCCAGCAGGCGGACATCCCCGAGGGGTCCTTGACTGTGAGAGGGTGCAGGCTGGGCTGAGGGACCTCTCCCCCTACTACCCTCTAAATGTACAAATTTTCGTGCACTGGGCCTCTAGTGTTTTATAAAATTCATTAACCTAAATTCATTTATGACCTTTTATTTTATTTTTAAAAACTATTCTGTTTTTATACAAAGAATTCTAATTTAATAGAAAAATATAACCAGGTTACCTAATTTTTTGTGCATTCTAGTTTAATCAGTGTTTTATTACAAGATCAATTATTTTTGGGAGGTAGCTTTGAAAGTTTTCAATTATTCATTTACTCTGGGGTGATAGATGTCTTTTCTCCTGTTTTTCTTTGAAAAATCCCTAAAAGTGAGGTAACCAAGCTAGGCTCATTTGCAATAGCAGAGTAAATACCAGAGAAATTGTTTATTATTTTGTTTTTTGTTTTTTACTAACAACCAAAGGGTAGGAGTTAGAGTTAGAGCTCACATGGTTCAGAATAGGTTTATTAATCCTCTGAACTTAACTCTTCCTGCTCATTGCTCCTTTCAAATATGGATGTTCCTGGGAAGAGTTTTTAAAGGAAAACCTACAGATATATCTAATAGATTATAGATTAAGACTTTAATTTGGGATTACTTGACAAGAAAAGACAAAGAAAGGGACATGGGATTAACTTGCATTGACCTGTGTGTGTTCAAGGTGCGTGTGTGTGTGTGTGTGTGTGTGTGTGCGTGCGCGCGTGAGCGTGCGTGTGTGTGCGCGCGCGCGCGCGCACTTGTGCATGCATGCGTGCGTGCATGTGTGTGTTTGTGTGTGTGTTGTTTCTTGTAGGTTTTCAGTCCTTTCATTTATGACAGGTATTTTTACATATAGAAATGTTATTAGTTTATAAATAAACTAGAGACCTAGTGCACAAAATTTGTGGACTCGGGGCTGGGGGCAGGGGTGTCCCTCAGCCTGGATTGGGAGAGGGCTCAGGCCAGGCCAAAGGACCCCACTGCTGCATGGCTGGGGAGGGACCACAGGAAGGTTCCATGGCATGTTTGGTCCGTCTCGCTCAGTCCCGATCAGCTGGACCCCAGCAGCAAGCTAACCTACCAGTCTACCCCATGGAAGTCAGTGCACATCATAGTGACCAGTTGACTGGTTGACTATACTCCCCCTCATGGTCAGTGCACATCATAGTGACTGGTCATCCAGTCAACTGTCTGCCCCCCCTCGTGGTCAATGTACATCATAGCGAGTGGTTGAGGGGCCTTAACATACCATTAGCATATTATGCTTTGATTGGTTGAACGGACAACTAGATGACCAGACACTTAGCATATTAGCTTTCATTATATAGGATAAAATGAGAGTTTAAAAATTCATTCATTTAGAAATTGTAGAACAGTAAAAAGCATGCCAGATATGTTTTTCAAAATTACCACATGTCTAGAAAGTTTGTTTAGTCTTCACTTACTGTATGAGCTATATTTTTCTAAAATTGAGTTTTTCTAAATTTTGGGCAACTAAATTTTAGAAATTTAGTTCCTTCTCAGTGATATATTTTTGGAATTCCCCTCAAAATTTTGTTCAAACAGTAAAGTATCAGTTATTTATTTTTTTAGAAAGCAACTTTTTTGGTATAATATGAGTTCATGATGAAATGGCCCTTAATATTTATTGCCTTTTTTAACTTTATTTTTTAATGTGATTGTGAAGTACTTACTGAGTAGTCTGTACTGATATTATCACCATGGTATTATCACATTTATTGTCTGTATATTTTTCTGATTTCTTTTCCTGTGATTATTTATCTTATTTTTTAAGAGTCACTAGTTTGCCTTTAATTGATTTTAGCCATTAAGCTTTTAAAAATCAATCAGTAGGAGAATACGTATTTTATAAACTCATATTTAAGATTTTTCTTTGACATTAAATAGGCTCTTTATTGTTTACAAGGTTATTTCTGAATTGCAAAGACTTCATGTTTTTCCCTATATTCCCCCATGCAATCTTGGCTGCCATAATCAGACAGACAAAAATCAGGAGGACCCCTTTTTTTGTATCTGCAGTGGAAGTTTAGAATCAGGCCTCTTCTCTGCTTGATCTGTTTTCTCTGAGAGATCCCCTGTACTTTCTTGCCTTCATTGGCCACTTATGATCTATTCTCCATCTTCGCTGAGTTCCAGACCTTTGTTAGACATTTCCACCTACCTTTGCCCCATGAAACTCAGATTCAACAGATCTAAATCAGTTTTCCTGAGCTCCCCACAAACAAAAAATTTTTTTTATATAATTCCAAATTGTACCCTCCTAGTTATCTTACAATTTCCCATCACTCCCAAGTTGATTTGGTCACAAAATGATATGTGAAGTCAGCTTTTATGTCTCTAAAATCTAACCTTAATCATTACCATTTTTGTTATCCCAGTGCAGGCCTTTGTCATCATTTAGCTGGACTGCTCTCCTAATCATGCTTTGGCTACAATCATTCCCTGCCAGTACAGCCCCTGAACTGTTGCCAGTTATTTTTCAAAATGCTGGGGTTTTTAATTTTTATTATTTCACTTCCTTGCATCAAATCCTTAGTTGGCTTCTCACAGCCTATAGGATAAGATCTAAACTATGTGGTATATGAGACAAAAGTCCTTTCAAACCCATCTCAGTGAACCTTTTTAACTTTATTACAATTCCCTTTTTCCCTTGGGCCCTAGCTGTTTCAAACTGTGCCACCAGCTCCATGGCATGTTCTTCCGTGGCTCTCTCCTGTAATTATCCGGTTTCCTCGCCTGGAGTGTTCTAACCTCCTTTGTTGTTACATTTCTACTCAATCTGAGTTCCAGTGTTAGCTCCCCTTGGCCTCTTCCTTTCCCACATTTTTCACACTTTACATTGGGTTGTAATTATTTGTACTGTCTCTTCTGTATCAAGTTCTTGACAACCGTTATGTGTATTCATCTTCCTTCCCATGATTGTTTTTCAGTACCTGAGACATAGTAATCCCTAAGTGAATGTAAACTCCCATTTGCTGGCATGCTCAGGAAATGGACTATTAAGGTATATTAAATTTGGGGAGTGATTCGATAATATGCTTTTTATTTCAATGAGACAGTTTTTCTAAAATTAAAATTTCTTTCTACCTTAGTATTATGGAGTGATCTTGGAGAACCCTATGGTTTTCCTCTGAAATACATGCTATCATCATTTTGATACAATTTATAGTGTACTGAGGATAAATGGGCTACATCAGGATGACTCTGGTGGCTCATTAAAAATTACATTTTCAAGTCTCATTTCAAACTTACTGAATCTGAACCTTCCGTTTGGGAGCTCAGGATATGTTTCTAACTAAAATCAAATCCAGGTGATTTTGATGTGTAAGTAAATTTGGGAACTAACAAAGAGGCTAAGACATACTCACAAAACATGCAACCTGGATGATTTTCTTCCTTACCCTGATAATTACATTCATTAGATGTAATTTCTTGAAGTTTTTTTACTATCTGGTTGTAGTTTAATAATCCTATGTACTGTCATTCTTCTCCTTCAGCGAGGCATTCTGTTAAAAGTGGCTGAAACCATCAAAAGTTGTATTTCTTCTCATTGCAATAAGAAAGATGATTTACTTCACAAATTGGTGAGTGTTCATTTTACTTTCTTTGTCAATATTCAGGGCTCCAGCTTATTAGTGAGAAAATTGATAAATTAGAATTTGTCTTGCTACTGATTAATTTTTATTAAAAATTCTGGGCAGTTCTGTAAAAGGAGATTTTCCACTTCATGAATTATTATTTTTTATTTATATCTTTTTTATTTATCTTTATTTATTTAATTTTTTGTTGATTTTTTTACAGAGAGGAAGGGAGAGGGATAGAAAACTAGAAACATAGATAAGAGAGAACATCAACCAGCTGCCTCTTGCACCCCCCCCCACTGGGAATGTGCCCACAACCAATGTATATGCCCTTGACCGGAATCGAACCTGGGAGCCTTCAGTCCGCAGACCGACGCCCTATCCATGAGCCAAACCAGTTTTGGCCACTTCATGAATTATTAAATAAAGTTGGTTGTGTCACCTAAGAAAGAAAAAGTAAACTCTTCAAAAAAATTGCATTTGGGCTCCGTATTATTTTATAGTTCTTAGAGTTTATTAGGCACTTAGAGTAGAATATTCTTAGTAGTGTTGAAACCTTATTTGTTAGAGTACTATTTTCCACTGCTATCTTCCTCTATTGTATATCCATTAGTTGGGTCTTCTTCTTTTTCATTAGGAACATGACTGTCTTTATCCTTATCCCACAGTCAATGATTATATAATTTAGGCAAAATCAAAAGTGGTTCCTCCCTAATTTATTTAAATAATCTGACAACTTCAGATTGTTTTATTTTATGAATTTATTTACCATTGTTTGACAACTTCATATATAAAATTTAGTCTCCAGGACTGATAAATCACAGAATTTTCCAGAGACTTGTAATAGTCAATATTGTGAGTCTTTGTGATTCCTGTGAGGCTTGCTTTTTTTCTTCTCTCTGACCTCTTGTCCCCCAAGAAGGAGTACCTCTAGTTTTTATATCCTAATAATACAAAATTTAAGTTATGAAGTTCTCCTGGTTCTCAGTAGGAGAAATCAGATTACAAGTAAGCAGGCTTTCAGGATCCTCTGCTGGCCTATGACCCTAAGATAATAATAATCCTTAATATATAAAAACTCTTGGTTGTAACGTCCAGTAACTAACTGGAAGTCAGTCCTGCAGTCAGCACTGGGTTGCTGCTTTCGCTGCAGGCGCGGTGACCCAAAACTGACTGCTGAGGGAGCTGCATATCAGGGCCAGAGAGAGGCCTGAAGAGAGAAGCAGATACAACCATTGCCTCTGTGGCAGCTTTTGATCAGGACTCGCCTCTCTCTTTTTCTCCCAGTCTGGCCAGCAGCTGCACCTCCATTTCTCCAGCTCCACTGGGGCTGCTGATCAGCCCCACCTTTCTAATCAGGCCCCATTGATGGGCCCAGAGATGCTGGCATAGAAACTGATCAATCAGAACCAAATCTGGGTGAAGTGTGAGGAGCCAATGGTTCCCTGGGAGGCAGAACTTTTGACGCTCATTGGCATAGAAACCAACCAATCAGAACCAACTTGGCCGGCAGAGGACAGCAGTTGGGGGCAAGATCAGGCCAGCAGGGGAGGGCAGTTAGGAGCAATCAGGCAGGCAGGCAGAGGGGTTAGGGGCAATCAGGCAGGCAGGTGAGCAGTTAGGAGCCAGCGGTCCTAGATTGCAAGAGGGATGTCTGACTGCTGATTTAGGCCCAATCCCCTGAGGGCTGCCTGATTGGAGAGGGTGCAGGCTAGGCTAAGGGAACCCCGCCTCCATACACTTGGCCACTAGTTATTCTTATAAATTATCATTTATAAAAAAATGTTTACAAAGTGCTTTCACATTTTGATTTGGCAATCTAAACACTATAAGGTTTTGGTGCATTCACCAGCTGGAAATCCTAAGGTTCAGACCACTCAATTTGATTTAAGAATACTGATTAAGTGAATTATTCAAGAATCAGCTAGAAAGTGATAGAGTCAGAATTTGTATTCCGATCTCCTGGTTTCTAAGCCAAGGCTCTGTACTATAATGCACTACCTCTCTAGCTTGAATATTATTATGTTTTGACTGACTTAAATTACTTTTTTAGCAATCCAAAAGGGCAAGTTCTCTGTTCAGGGTTTCATCTTTATAGGTGTGTTGAGAAGGTCAATGAAGTATCTATCTACATAGAATACCATCTCTATCCAGGTGGAGCCATCCTCATTCTTCAATGATACTAGGACTGTGATAAGGTACATGGATCCATAAACATTTTTCTGTGGTTTAATCATAGTCCGTATAGTCCTGATCTTTTCATTCTTGGTTCTTTGTCACTGGCCACATATTTTATGTTTTTTTCTTATAGTATTAAAAAATAAATGCCTTTATAGCAACTATGATATTAGTGATATTAGCACTTTTAAAGCACTTTTTAGCCTATAAAGTGCTTTCATGTGTTATCTTATTTTATCCTCATCAGCTTTATGAAATAGCATTATATATTTAAAAGTGTGTAAGATCATCGAAGTGTATTGATACATGTATAAGTTCCCTTCTCCATCAGTAGAGGCAGAAATAGAAATCTCTTTTATTCTTTAGCTGTGCTTTGCATCCCTTTCATTCCATCCAAGCAGAAATCTTCCTAAGTTACCTTCTCATGCCATTTTTCTATTTAGATCCTTAAAAAGATTCCTATTGTCTGTCATTTCAAATTCAATTAATCACTTCAGCATAAAAGAGTCTGCATAAGTTGGCATTAATCTACCTTCCTAGCCTTATCCACCTTTATTTTCATCAACCAAACCAGTCTTCCTTATCTTTTAATTCCATACCTATAATTGTGCTATTATACTGTGGTGGAATTCCTTTCATTGTTTTCTCTATTATCAGAACCTTTTCATTAACAGTCCTAGCTCATCTTCAAGGCCTTTCCCAGAAACTTCAGCCCACTGATCTCTTTTTTTCTGCAACAACCTAGTAATGACTATCTATGCTGTGATCTCTAAGTTTTTATATATTATGTATGCTTTTTTTATTGTGTTTTAACACTAGCAGCTAACACTTCCATAGTGTTTATTGTGCATCAGACATTCTTAATATTTTGCAAATACTGACTTATTTAATCATCACAGCAACCCTCTGAAGTTGGTACTACTTATTTTGCAGATAAGGAAACTGTAAGAGTGGGTGGGGGTTGTAAAGGGTAAAGGGGGCCAACTATATGGTGGCAGAAGATGTTTTGACTTTGGGTGGTGGACACACAGTGCAATACCTATACAGATCATGCATATAACCCAAGATCAAGTTTGAATATGGATCACTGCATTCCTACTAAGTCCCCATTATGATCAACTAGGGTTGAACACTGTGGTGTAGGAATGATTAACTGATCAAGAAGAGCAAACCCACTGCTTTAAACCCTAGACCAGTGGTCAGCAAGCTGTGGCTCATGAGCCACATGCGACTCTTTGGCCCCCTGAGTGTAGCTCTTCCACGAAATACCACGGCCTGGGCGAGTCTATTTTGAAGAATTGGCATTAGAAGAATAAGTTTTAAAAATTTGGCTCTCAAAAGAAATTTCAATCGTTGTACTGTTGATATATTTTTTTTAATATATTTTATTGATTTTGTACAGAGAGGAAGGGAGAGAGATAGAGAGCTAGAAACATCGATGAGAGAGAGAGTCATCGACCAGCTGCCTCTTGCACACCCCCCACCGGGGATATGCCCGCAACCAAGGTACATGCCCTTGACCAGAATCGAAACCGGGACCTTTCAGTCCCCAAGCCGACGCTCTATCCATTGAGCCAAATCGGTTTCGGCTATACTGTTGATATTTGGTTCTGTTAACTAACAAGTTTGCCGACCACTGCCCTAGACCTAACTCTTTTATGTTAATTGCTAAAGGTTTTGGCCTTTAAAAGTTCTCTTTATTTTGCCCAGCTAGCATGGCTTAGTGGTTGAACATTGACCTACGAACCAGGAGGTCATGGTTCGATTCCTGGTCAGGGCACGTGCCAGTGTTATGGACTTAATCCCCAATGGGGATCAAAATGCTGGAGGCAGCTAACCAATGATTCTCTCTCATCAGTGATGTTTTTTGTCTCTCTCTCTCTCCCTCTCTCCCCCCTCTCTTCCTCTCTGAAATCAATAAAAATAAAAAATATTACAAGTTCTCTTTATTTTTTTCTTACAATAGGGTCACTCTATTCCTAAATTTAATACAAAATAAAACTTAAAATTTTCTGACAAAGCAGAATATGTACAGTGAAGCAAAACTGACTACTAGAGACTTAGGCTTTGAAATCAGACTTCTGGAGAGCTACGTATTCTCTTTGGACTTCAGTGTTCTCCTCTATAAAATGGAGAGGAGGAGAATGTACATCACAGGATTGCTGTGAAAATTAACCTATCTGCTATAACATTCCTAACTCATCTCTTACCTCTACCATGAACACTCTGCATAAAATTAGTATTGATGACTTACAGTTCCAAAGAAGCTTTTCTGTCTCATCTGACTCTTCAAGCTCTTACGTCTGATCAGTCCTTACTCTTACGTTAAGACTTAGCTCAGGTATAACCTCTTGTACTTTATCTGACTTCATTGCAAGTTTTGGTACCTTTTCATAATACCCTTGGTATACATCATTGACTTCTTTGCACATTATGTTGCAACTGTTTACTTTTTAGTCCTTCATTAAACTATGAACTATTTTAAGAGTAGAGACTTAAATGTCTTGTTCTTGGTATATTGATAGAAGGATAGAAGGAAAGGAGAGGAATAAATGATATGGTATATGTGAAAGCATTTTGCAAACTATAAATGCTATGCACATGTTAGTGTGGTTTTATATTACATTCCTTAATGATGTATTTTTAATGTCTGAATGTCTATTTTTATAAGGTCTTGATCCTGCTGATGTAATTCTTAGATACTGGCTATACTGTTACAGTATCCAGGGACAGCATCTTATGTTACAGAATTATATTTTCCATGTGTGTTCTAGCAATTTAATTAACTGGGCTTGACTAGACAGGTTTATAAATATGTAGTTCACATCTTTTTATTAAAAATTTATATTTCACATCTGGTGGCCCAATAATATCCACCTCAGTCTTTATTATTTCACATTTACGTCTGGGGGAAAACACCCCCTCAACAGTAGATTGGACTGTTGTTTCTTCTTCTTGGAGTTTATACTGAAAATAAGTATCTCTAAATTTTATTAGTACTCTAGGATCTTAGCATTTAATGCAAAATTATGTATGCATTAATACCTCTCTTCTGGTCTTTTAATGGCAAGGATATTGGATTCCGACTTGACTCACTACATACCATCCTGCAACAGGAAGTCCTGTTACAAGAGGATGTGGAGCTAATTGAGCTACTTGATCCCAGTATCCTGTCTGCAGGGCAACCTCAACAACAGGAAAATGGACACCTTCCAACACTTCGCTCCCTGGCAACCCCTAATATTTGGTACTGTTCAGAAAACATCTATCCTTTGCTCGCATATTGTATAGAGTATTCAGAGGAAATCCATCATGATGCTCCCCATTGTAAAGGCATAATAAACATCCCATACCTTGTAGCATTGTAATTAATGATATGCAAAGGTTTTTAAAAAGACCTTTCTAAAGTGAATACAATTTCAAATGAAGCTGGAAACAAATCCACTTTCAACTCACTATAATTAGTTCTGTATTTTAATAGCTCACATATATTTATGACATGTGCCAAAAAGAATGTCTTACCCATATACCTCTATACACACGTGTGCATGCAGGCCTCGCTGGTTCTTTATAGTTAGTAGAATATATCATAATCACATTGTAAAGACAACGAGGGTAGGTGGGGGCATGGAGGTAAATGATTACCTTTTGCTTTATTGGCTGAGAAGAGTCATAAGGAACATAGTCTAATGATTTACACTATCCTAAAACTTTTCAACTACTTCAAATATTTGTATCTAATGAAGAAGTCCCAGAATAATCTGTTTAAGAAAAAGAAAGAGGAATGGTAAGAAGGGATTATATAGAAATAACTGTTAATATTCTCTTCCTGTTAAAATATGAGTTTATTAAATGAACTGAATCATTGTTCCAACTGTTCAAGTTATACAGGCAATTATATTCTTTAGCTTCAGTGTGCTGAATTTATCTGTCTTTTCTGTCACACTGGCAGCTAGCTGCTTCATATTCTAACATAGAAAAGTATGATGTTTTCCAAACCTGTATCGTATGATGAGGTAAAGCATCTTATCCTTTAAAAACAAAAAGTAAGAACGTAAAGGACTGCTACAAGGAACCATATGTTTTAAGAATTTTACTTTGAAGTTTTCTTTAGCAACAAATATGATTAAGAAACCACTTATATGAGCATAATCAATGGACACGGATGGGTTGGGGGGGGCGCGAAAGCAGGGGTGAGGGCATATGCTGGGGGGTTCTTTAAACGATAAAGAATTAAATTTTAAAAAAGAAAAGAAACTGAGTGTCTGTAAATACTTACAGACTATTCTATTAAAACATACAAGTAGATAATGAAAGTTGACTCTATGATATTACCAGTATCATCTAAAAGTAAAGGATTCCAAGGGAAATTAGGGCAGGCAAATGTTTAATAAGAAGCACTCCTATTGAGACTTCTTTTGTTGTTTGACTATCTTCAAGTACTGTTGTTCAGACATAACTCCTCTGTATTTATCCTTTTATGATAAATATATGTTTTCATCAGAACCTTTGTTGCTTAAAAGATGTGTTTTAATCTATAGATTTATAGTTGACCTAAGCAAAAAAAAATGTATATACACTTTTACTTCAATTAAGGCAGTGTAAAAACACAAAGCTTATCCATATTATGGTCTGCTGTATAAGTGTGTGTATTCCAGATTTGTGGTGATGATTTAAAATTAGATGACTTGATTTAAAACAATTACTCATAAAGTATATATTATTTCTAATTGGAAAAATGCATATATTTTCTTCAGATATTATATATTTAATACTTAAAGTTGATTTTAGGGAAAAGGAACTTATATTTAAGTATTAAAAAAGTATTTTAATATTAAAATTAGTAAAAATTAACCTATTTTTACTTTTACATTTATAAAATTGGATTTTTTTAATCTGTAAATTTTTTTAAAGAGTCTGTATCTTTACAGTCTTGACCTAAAGGGTATTATGCTAAGAGAAATAAGTCAGACAGAGAAAGACAAATACCATATGATTTCACTTATCTGTGGAATCTAAAACCCAAAAGAAACAAACAAAACAGAAATAAACTCATGGACACAAAGCACAAACTGATGATTGCCTGGTAGAAGAGGAGTTGGGGGACTGGATAAGAAAAGTAAAGGGATTAATAAGTTCAAATTGGTAGTTATAAAATAATCATGGGGATTAAAGTATTGCATAGGTAATATAATCAATAATCTTATAATAATTATGTATACTGTCAGGTGGATATGAGACTTATTGGGGTAATACTTTATAAATGCTATTAGTTGTCTAACCACTGTACTGCCCACCTAATCCTATATAATAAAAGGCTAATGTGCAAATCAACCAAATGGCAGAACGACCAGTCGCTATGATGCTCATTGACCACCAGGGGGTAGGCACTCAAAGCAGAAGCTGCCCCCTGGTGGTCAGTGCACTTCCACAGGGGGAGGGCTACTCAGCCAGAAGCCTGGCTCATGGCTGGCGAGTGTAGCCGCGGTGGTGGGGACCTCTCCCACATCCACGGCAGTGCAAGGATGTCTGTCCGACTGCCAGTTTAGGCCCCTTCCCTGCAGAGAGCGGGCCTAAGCCATCAGTGGAGCATCCTCTGAGGGCATGAATTTTGTGCACCAGGCCTCTAGTATAAAATAATATTCAATATCAACTGTAATTGAAAAAAATTTTTTTCTCCAAGTCATTTCAGAAGGCACCAATTTCTTATATCCTTTACCTAAACTTATTACTCAGTTTTAATACCTAAGGACCACTTCTAGTTGCTAGATATTTCAAAACTATTTCACATGATTTTAAAAATATATTTTTTTTTTATTGATTTCAGAGAGGAAGGAAGAGGGAGGGAGGGAGGGAGGGAGGGAGGGAGGGAGGGAGAGAGAGAGAGAGAGAGAGAGAGAGAGAGAGAGAGAGAGAGAGAGAGAGAGAGAGAGAGAAACATCCACGATGAGGGAGAATCATGGATCGGCTGCCTCCTGCAAGTCCTTCACTGGGGATTAAGCCCACAACCCAGGCATGTGTCCTTGACTGGAATCGAACCTGGGACCTTTCAGTTCACAGGCCGACACTCTTATCCACTGAGTGAAACCGGCTAGGGCTTTCACATGATTTTTTTTTAATGTCATTTTTTAAACCATATGTTACAAAGAAGCTGGAATTTTATTTATTTTAGGAAACTTAATTTACTGATAAAGTAACTCATCTTTCTCTTTTCTAATGGGTATTGTTGTTGTTTTTTCCCCTCTGTTATAGGGATGTCTCAATGCTATTTGCCTTCATTAGTTTGCTTATTATGCTTCCCACTTGGTGGATTTTCTCTTCTTGGCTGGTATGGGGAGTGATTCTATTTGTTTATCTGATCATAAGAGCTTTGAGATTATGGAGGACAGCCAAACTACAAGTAACCCTAAAAAAATACAATGTCCGTTTGGAAAATGCAGCAGCAAATAGCCGAGCTTTTACTAATCTTGTGAGAAAAGCTTTACGTCTCATTCAAGAAACTGAAGTTATTTCCAGAGGATTTACACTGTGAGTTCATTTTTTTATTTTATTGTTAAATAATTCTTTTTTATTACATAATTAAAGTAGAATATTTACTACCTGTTTTCATTTTTGTATTGCTTTTATAGGAAAAAAGTTGGTTTTTTCTTTAGCACTTATTAAAGTCTATTAACTGCTCACTAAAGAAATAAATGTTAGATTTAATATGTAATATGATTCTTCTTATCTACTTTGAGAAACAAAAGTGCTTTGAGAATAATGATTATGTCTGTATGTTTACCTGTAATTTTATGAGATAATGAGAAAGAAACTACCATTGAACCCAGCATACAGTTACCCAATAAATGCTTGTTTTCTTTACTTCCTGTCAGATACTCTCTTTCCTCAGTTTAATTGATAGCTATATCTGACATGAATTCATTTTGAAAACTCTTGCCATTTATTAATAATATTCTTTAGGTAAATGTTAGCAGATATTATGGCACCAATATTGTCAAAATATCATGCAAGTGATGATGTTTTACATTCCCACAAGAAATTAAATATTCACCAGTCTAGCTGTAAGTGTATTAAGCTGCAGGTTATACTGGTTATTTATCCCATTATTAAAGGAAAAGTTATATTTACTCAGCACCAGTTTATTGTAGAGCAGATGTTCAAGTCCTTACCATCTGGCTCTAAAGCTTGATTGCAGTACACCAGACTGCCTGCTAAACACTAGCAGGTGATAGTTGTATTGTAGTATATACATAATAATTTATATAACCTTTGCAATCTATAAGTGGGAGGAAATATGATGAAATATATGGTGCAGAATAATTATTGCTCTTAATTATTGTTATATCTGGAAAATCATGCAAAAAGGAGTAGAAGACCCTTTGGTAGTCATCACATCTTTTACTGTGCTCTGCTCTAGAGTAGTACTGAAATGATCTTGGCATAAAAGCTGTCTCTGAAAAATCATGAACAGGGAAGTAGAATAATCTCTGTTGTGTTCTGAAACAGTATTTTAAACAATCCAAAGGCATAAGAGATGTTTCATTACTTTTCTTTCTGCTCAATTCAAAATGGAACAGTCCTTGATATTTGTTTATTTTTGTCCTTCCATTGTTCACTTCTTTTTGACTGAGCATAGCAGTTTTTAAGTTGTTTGAGAATCAAGTTTTAAAAGTTAAAAATCACACTAAGAATAAAAGTGGCTTTTTGTTCTTGACTTGCACAAGACTGTACTGAGAGAACTGACTGCTTAAAGGTTAAGCAAAGTGCTATGTGTTTGTTCATTTAATGCTTGGGCATGTATAGAGGATTCTGGGCTTTTGTCATTGTCCACCTTTTAGAAGCCATATGTATAGAATAGGCATGAAGAGCTAAATTAGGTCAGTTAGACATGATTAGCCTCCAGATTTTGACTTCTGTCTATTCAGATGCAGACAGGCAGAAGAAATCTGGAAAAAAATTGTGCTTCACTTGTCTTCATCCATCTAGATAATTGATTGAAAAAATTATGAGCAATAGTAGATCTTGAATCATAATATTTTTAGCTTTTAAAATTCATTTAGTAAATAAAATGGAGTACAAACAATAGTGCCATATGTTGAAAGAAATGAGTACTGTGTTTTTTGTTTTGTTTTGTTTTGTTTTTTCAG